AAAAAAAAGAAAAGCACAGTGAATGTTTACATTTTTGACATTTATTACAGTAAAAGATACATTGCTGTTTATCCCCCCAAAATACAACCCTCCCTCCACTTGGAGCACACCTATTCCATTGTTTTGCCCCTTTCTGAAGCAGTTCTGGAAGTCCTTTTTCCTGCGTGTCTTTAGTTGCACTGTCATGGCTGCCTTGATGTCCTGAATAGATGCAAAACATTTACCATTTACATTAGTCACCTTTAGACTTTCTGGACACAATACCCAGTACTCACAAGTTAAAAGAGGAAGGGTTTACATTAGCACACAGTTTGAGGTGATTCAGTCCATAGTCAGTTGGCTCCAAGGCAGGAACATCGTGGCAGAAGAATATGCCACAGCAAAGCTGCTTAGTTCATGGCAGATAAACAGACCAGGGAAACTGCTAGAGAGAAAAGGCAAAGGACCATATAAAGTACCCAAAGCCAGGCCTCCATGACCCACACAGACCAATGAAATTGACAGATCAGGATTAAGTCACACTTTTTTATGGTAGTTTTGCCTTTGGGTGAAAGCCAGAAGTCTCATGGTGCCACATCCGGTGAATCAGATAGACAGAGACACACTGTAATGTTGTTATGGACCTGCCTTTCTGATGGATTGCACTTGGCTGCAGCTCTCACTACAGTTTTGATCACATTTACTAAGACACTCAGACAAGAGAACTTCCAGAACGGCTTCAGTGGCAAGAATGATAGCATAAGTGAGTTCAAATTAAGGAGGAGTATTTTGAGAGGATTCACAGTAATGTGTCTTTTATGACAATAGTTTTTTTTTTAATTTAAACACACACTGTATTTTTAAATCATCATTTGTATTTTGGGCTCTCCCAACTGTTGACTTATTAGCTAAAGAGCCTCAAGAGTGGACCATAAGATGAGGATTCATATGCAAGCACTTTATCATGTAACTTTTCCCAGGAGAAATCCCTATAAGAGTAGAAGAAATAGGTTAGTGAAGAGGAAGAAACCTAGTATGGACACAATTTTAGGCAAAATTCTACTGAGGGCAGCTTCAGTCCTATCTTGCAAGGGAGCTCTATAGCAGTGTTGCTGAACCTACAGCATGTGTGTGGCAGCAGGCTTTTATCTGTGAAAGCTCTAAAAGGTTTGTTATCACTGCTCTATGCTACAAATTATGCCTGAGGTTGTTGCTACCACAAACAAGTGAGCTGAGGTTTTATACTCCCATAATCATTACTCAGTGGTTGAGGATAGCTATGGACTAACAGGTACGCACAGCCACTCCAGCTCCCAGACATGCAGGCGGAGCTCAGTAGCCCAAGGGCAAGCCTCCAAAGAAGAGTGCCAGGTATTGGGTTTTCAAAGCTAAAACACATCAAAGCCAAAGAAAGGTTACCTAAAAAGGATAAAAGGATCTGGGAGGATATCAGTTCCAAAAATATCTCCTATAGTTATCTAAATGCTTAGAGAAGACTCTAATAAACACAATGAACTAGATTCTGAAATTTGAAAATTTCTCAATAGATCAGGGCTCTATGACTTGTGAGGAGGAGGCAGTAACTACAAGAGGAAGCCAGTATTAAATATCTTACCATGTTATGAATATATCAACGTACCATGTACAGAGAAGTAAAAAAAGAGGCAAGTATCCCTTTTTGCCTCTGGCAGAGTGGATAGGAGTGTGGTCAGGAAATGGACTCTCCAAGTAGTATTGTCTAAGTCTGCAATTCAAGAGTGAAAAGGAAACTACTAGACAAGATAAGGAAGCACACTCATATTGGAAGGCACTGCATCTTCCCCAATCTACTACATGGTTGATAAACTATAGCAACTAAAAACAGCCACCATCAGCCTTTCTAACAAAACATATCTCCCTAGATCAGAAATTAAACAGAAAGACTCAAGGGTAAATACTACTAGAGTACCAGCTAAAGCAGACAATGATAATGGGCAGTTTACCTTCTGTAAAGTAAACTGACTAAAACCACTCCATAAGAAATAAGAAAACAGAGCCAGGCTCACCAATTAAAGAAAAGAGCTGGGAAATACCTCCCCACCTCCTGGAAAGAGTCTGAAAAAACACAGCTGTGCCTGAAGTTGATGACAGAGAGCTTCAGCTAGCAAACACATAAATGGGAGGCTGACTTAGCCTGGAAACCAGGAAGTAGGCCAAGCTGAGAACCACCGAGGAGACACATTTGCCACGTTGTCAACAACACCAGGGAAAAGCTGACTTTGCACCAAGGATCTAGGGCCCAGGTGGGAGGAAGGAGTAAGAAAACAGGAAAAGAGATAGGACAAATTGCTTTAAAATGTGTCTGAAAACCAAAGTTACATAATGCACAAAACTGGTTTATGGTAAGTAAGAAAGTCAACATAGCCCCCCCCCCGCCTTTTTAAAC